ACCCACCATCCTCCCCCTCCCCCCCTCACCCCCACTTTGGCCCAGCCCCCCCTGGCACTTCCACACCACCCATCTCCACACTCCACAACTCACCGCAAGCTCCGGGGGAGCAACAAAGGCATTGAATGCCACCCCTGCGCCTGCGCGCCCAAGAGGCCCCCAGGGGGACCCCCACTCTCCCCCCCCTCCCACCCCCCCTCCTCCCCCCCCCTCCACTCCCCCGCCCATCCCCCTTCACCACTCTCTGCCCCCATCCCCTCTCACACTTCCCCAACCATTAAGCCTCCGAGAGGTCACCAAGGCACCGAGTGCCAGAAGACAACGCCCCCCCGACTCGTGAAACACGTCTCGTTGTCGGTTGTGGTGTGCTTGTGTCTACTAATGACGGTGCTGAGCACCTCCCTTCTTCCGGGAAAGAACACACCCTTCCACCTATCTCACGCCCAGGACGGAGGGCCGCGTGGCCCCTCGCCTCTTCACACGACCCCAATCGCATGAAAATCCTCCCCTACTCACAATGGACCGAATCTCCCCAATTGCGCAGGTGCTGCGCCTCTACGCCCCTGAGGGCCACATCCTCGACAACGCGCTGTGCCTCGCTGCCGTCAAGCTCGCCTTCCCCACCTCGGGCGAAGGCAGCGACGCCTCGCTTCTCCAGCCCGGCCAGTTCGCCTGGGTCGCCACCAACCGCGGCGCGACGGGGGCGATCAGCTTCCGCTGCCAGGGGGCCGCCGCCGCCGCGCACCACGTGGTCGCGCACTACGGTGGCGGCACCCACGGGCGCTTCCAACACCCGGGCCCCGCGCTCCCGGCCCCCGCCCCGTGCGGCTCCAACTCCGCCTTCGGGGTCAAGATCACGGTCGGCGGGGTCTCCAAGGACCCCTAGCAACCAATATGCGGGAGAACGCGGACAAGCGCGATCACCTCCCCGTTGGGGCCTTCCGTGACAAAAGGGCCTCGGACTTCCCAGGCTCCAGCCCCTGGGTCCCGACGCCTCCGGGCAGCTGGGTCGTCCACCTGGGCATCCCAATAGGGAATGACTTCAATGCCTTCGAATTTCTCGGGCCCATATACAAGAGGGCGAAATCCTCACTTGCTAAGGCCAGGGGCACAACTCAGCTAAGCCTCAATGGACGACACAAACTACTTAACGCCAATTACTATGGCACTCTTCGCTATTACATGTGGTCCCTCGCCCCCCCAAAACCACTCCTAAGGGCCATCGAACAAGACGCCAACGTATTCCTCTGGAGGAAAAAACCCGAGCTCAAGACTGATGAACTAGGATCAAAACTCCGCACCGGTAAATTCATTGCCAAACACGCCACCTACCGCGCAGGAAAAAAGGGAGGTGCTGGAATCATGCACTTCCGGGCCTGTCGTGGCAACTTACGCCTCGAGGCGCTGACCACTTATGCAACTGGTATTAGCGGTCGGCCTCGGGAGTCGCAAGCCACTAGCTCAAGAATTGGCGATTAATATTATCTCGCTCCGTCGCTCGGTCGGAAGAAAGACAGGAAAAGCGCCATTCGTTCCTGCTTTTGACCTCGCTTCACATAGGTCCCGCGTGCGCAAATGGGCGTGGACGCGCAGGCGCGGCTCGCTTTGCAACTGTTGCTGAGACTGTTCCCGGGCGGGGTAGTCAAGTCCTTCCATCCATCCAGATGAATAACGCGGGGGAAAGCGGCAAGCGCCCGGCGACGTTTGTCAGTCAGCGACAGTCAGAAGCCAGCGCTGCTGGGTACCAGGAAGGTGGAAGGATGCAGGAAGGCGAATGCGATGACGGCCTCTAGTGTGAGCTCTAGCTAGTGAGCTCATCGTTTTCCTTTTTCACGATGTCTTCGAGTTGTTTGGAGAGAGAGAGTTAGTTTTGTTGTTTGGTATTGACCGAGTAAGCTAAGAGTACGTGGACTGCTGACAGGGATGGGAGTGAACACAAAAAAGCAGAGGCCTCCTACGGGAATGTACGTAAGAGCCACGTACATTGAGAGAGAGAACACAACCCCTGTCCCTTTTCTCCCAGTTGCTAAAAGTAAAATTGAAAAAAACGAAAAAAAAGGAGGGATGGGCGCTGCCATGCCCTGCCTCTCAACCCGCAAGTCCCTCATCCTGCTCCTCTGGCTCGGTGATGTCTGCCTCTACATGGGCCGCACGAACGTCTCTGTTGCGATCGGCGCCATGTTCTCCTCCGACGCGGCCGAGGGGCGCATGCTCGCCGCCTTTTACTGCGGCTATTTTGCCTTCCAGACGCCCGCGGGATGGCTCGCGTCGCGTTTCGGTGGCAGCCGCGTCCTCACG